ACCACATTCATGGAAGGATTTCAAGAATTACCTAAAACACAAGCGGAATGAAATGAAACTTGAACATATCATTGTTCGATTGAGAATAGAAGAAGACAATCGCAAAACTGAAAAAAGGAATGGTGCATCTCATTCGATGGAATCAAAAGCCAACATTGTAGAAGGAGGCTTCAAGACTAGCAAAAAGAGGAATCACAATAGGGAAGGACAAATTGACTCTCCAAAAATTGCTAAAAAGTTTAAAGGCAACTGTTACAATTGTGATAAGGTAGGACATCGATCCAAGGATTGTCCAAAGTCAAAAAATGTAAAGGGAAAAACTCACCAGACCAATGTAACAGAACATGAGAACTTCACCGATAAGGTACAAGACATAAATCTTTCTGCGGTCGTCTCTGAATGCAACTTAATTGGAAACATTAAGGAGTGGTGGGTGGATACTGAAGCTTCTCGTCACATATGCTCAAACCGCGGGATGTTCTCTGTCTACAAAGCGATGGATCATGATGAACATCTCTACATGAAAAACTCGTCATCTTCCAAGGTAGAAGGACATGGAAAATGACAAGTGGAAAAGAGCTCACTTTAAATGATGTTCTTCATGTGCCCGATATTAGGAAAAACTTGATATCTGGTTCTCTATTAAGTAAGAACGGGTTTAAACTAGTATTTGTCTCAGACAAATTTGTACTCTCAAAGAATGAAATGTTTGTAAAAAAGGGCTACCTGAATGAGGGGCTCTTTAAGTTGAATGTAATAACTGTTGTACCTCCAATTATGAATAAAAATGCATCTTCTTCTTACTTGCTTGAGTCATTTAACATTTGACATGAACGATTAGGACATACAAATTATAACACTTTGCGTAGACTAATCAAATTGGATTTATTATCAAAGTGTGATTTAAATTCTAATCACAAATGCGATATATGCGTAGAAACCAAAATGTCACGTCTACTTTTTCGTTCTGTTGAAAGAAGTACCGAACCCTTAGATTTAATTCACACTGACATATGTAAATTAAAATTTGTTCAAACTAGGGGAGGTAATAAGTACTTTATCACTTTTATCGATGATTGTACTCGATAGTCCTATATGTATTTGCTCAAAAGCAAAGACGAAGCAATTGAAGTTTTTAAACACTGCAAGTTAGAAGTTGAAAATCAACTTAACAAAAAGATTAAGGCCATAAGAAGTGATAGAGGTGATGAATATGATTCACCATTTGAGAAATTCTGTTCGAAACACGGAATTATTCATCAAACTACCGCGCCTTATTCTCCTCAATCTAATGGTATTGCTGAACGCAAGAATCAAACATTGAAGGAGATGATGAATGCTATGTTAATAAGTTCTGGATTACCGCATAACTTGTGGGGGGAAGCCTTGCTTTCTACCAACTATATTCTTAACAAACTACCACATCGAAAAACGCAAAAGATACCTTATGAAGTATGGAAAGGTCACAAACCTAATTATAAATACTTAAAGGTATGAGGATGTTTGGCTAAAATAATAGTTCCTAAACCTAAAAGGGTTAAGATAGGACCTAAAACCATTGATTGTGTATTCATTGGTTATGCCTACCATAGTAATGCGTACAGATTTATGGTATATAAGTCTGAAATACTTGATATGCATGTTAATACGATTATTGAATCAAGGGATGCTACATTTTTCGAAAATGCCATTCCTTATAACAGGTAAGGTGAATCAAATTCACAAAAGAAATCTCGTGAAAACGAAAAGACTATAGATCAAAAATCTATAAATGAATAACCTAGACGAAGTAAGAGGGTTAGGACGTCAACCTCCTTTGGGCCTGATTTTCTGACATTTTTGTTAGAAAATGAACCTCAAAGTTTTAAAGAGGCTATGTCATCAACCGAAACTTCATATTAGAAAGAAGCTGTTCATAGTGAAATTGAATACATACTACAAAATCATACTTGGGAATTAGTAGACCTCCCTCTCGGTAATAAGCCTTTGGGATGTAATGGATTTTCAAAAAGAAAATGAAAGCAGATGGATCAATTGACAAATATAAAGCAAGACTTGTCACTAAAAGCTACAAGCAAAAAGAAGGTCTTGATTATTTCGATACCTATTCTCATGTGACAAGAATCACTTCCATACGTATGCTTATTACAATAGCAGCATTGAATGGTTTGGATATACATCAAATGGATGTTAAAACAGCATTTTTGAATGGGGAATTAGATGAAGAAATTTATATGAAACAACCTGAAGGATTTTTGGTCTCAGGATAAGAAAAGAAAGTGTGTCGACTTGTTAAATCACTATATGGTTTAAAGCAAGCTCCTAAGAAATGACATGAAAAATTTGACATGGTTATGATGTCAAATTGTTTCAAAATTAACAAATGTGACAAATGTGTTTATGTCAAGAACACTCCAAATGGATATGTCATGGTATGTTTATATGTAGATGACATGTTGATTATGGGTAACAATGATACCATAATTCAAACTACTAACAAGTAAATTTGAACTGCAATATCATGGAAATCTTCAAAACAGACATGTATAGCTAGATCAACAATGGAATCTGAATCCATTGCATTAGACAAAGCCGAATGGCTACAAAACTTTCTAGAAGATATTCCATATTGGATAAAACATGTGTCTGCTATATGTATCTATTGTGATAGTCAATCAGCAATTGGTATGGCACAAAATGCAATGTACAACAGTAAATCTCGACATATACGTCGTAGACATAATACTGTTAGACAATTGCTCTCTACAGACATTATCTCTATAGAGTATGTGAAATCAAAAGAGAATATTGCGGATCCGCTAACTAAAAGTTTAACAAAAGAGCAAGTCGAAAGTTCATCGAAGGGAATGAGATTAAAACTAATAATCAAAAGTTTTCATGGGGGCAACCCAACCTAGTTGACTAGAGATCCCAAGATCTAGGTTCAATGGGACAACCGAACTGTGAAAAACTTAGTATGCACTGGGAAGATTTTACTTCTACCCATTCCTATGATGAGCCAGTGCCCAGCTGCCGCGAAATAGGTTAAAATACGCTTTTAATGATTTCTATAGCTTGATTCGTTTAAGTGGAGTATAGTAGAATACTCTTTATGGAAATCACCTATGTGAGTGAGAATGGGCCGCTTCTAAGAGAATTAGGTGATGATGAATTCTCTAAAAACCACTCATGAACCAGGAGGTGTCCCAGGCCAAAATGGACACAAACGTGAGAACCAACTGTGTTCGAAGAAAACTGTGTGACTTCTATTGTTTAGGTTTCCATAAACGGCTGACTGTTCAAAACAATTTGCTACTGATTGGCTAAGGAAATCCGATAGATTTTACTAGGAAAAGTTCAAAGTCATTGACTACTTATCCCGATGCAGTCTTCTTCAATTTTTTCTTTGAAAAACATATCAGATGTTATCGTTTGGAAAAAGGCCAACATATTTCATTCATGTGGGGAATTGTTGGAAAAATGGTTATGAAATGGGTCAACTTTAAGCCCATATTTTAGTGGAACCCACCTTTTAATTAATACGGGACCTAGCATATTCACGTTCTATTCCACGAGATAATTAACATGATATATTTATTTGTCGAAAACCATTTAAAAATGAACGAAATATTAAGTTTTAAAGTAACTCACGTAAACTAAGTATTATGGAAGAATTTGATTTTCTAAACACTTATTCCACATAGAAAAGTTAGGAAACTTTGGTGCGATTTATAAGGTGGACGTTTGGAATTGGGTTTGGGTCCCAAGGGGTACCAATAGTCTTTAGAAGGGGGAAAACCTATATCCTATTAGGTTTGGTCATAAACCCACACGCGCGCACCGCTGCCGCCGTCGCAACCGTCCGTCCGTCCAACCGGCTGGCACGGCATGAGCACAAGCACGTGCACGTGTTCGAGTCCGGTCCGATTCGGGTCGGGTGCGGGTAGACCTTTGCACTATATTAACTTTTTGGACAAAATTTATTTAAAATTTTGGGCCAAATTGTAAATAATCAAATTTTTGGGTACATTATGAAATTTAAATTTTGGCTTATTCCGGGTGTTTTTTTTTCTTTTAACAGTCGTGTGTTTACCGACCAAACAGTCGACTGTTAGCCAACTTAACAGACGCGACTTTTAAAACAGCATGTTCGAATTTTTGAGGTTTATCTGAAACATGATGACTGTTCGAATGATCACGAACAAGTCTATAAATAGCTTGCCTCTCTATCAGAAAATTTACACCATTTTCATTGCAAACTTTCTGTACTTTGAATCTCATTCCCTCTCTCTCGTTCTGATATTGTCTCGAAGTAAAACACATTTCGTTGAATTCGTTGGCACTCCTGCAGATTGCAGTGCTGCTTCCGTAGGAGATGAAAATTTGTTCTATCCTAAAAACGATTGTTGGACGCCTTTAGCACCATTGAAAGTAGCAAATTCGTTTTAAGGAAACATCGTGAAGTCGGTGGGCTCGAATTACTTTTTTTTTTTTTTTAATCCTGTTGATCATTTCTTTACATTCAGGTGATTCTGTCGGATTAGTTTCAAAGGAGTAACATCAAACTTTAGAAACAAATGTCAATTAGGAGCTTCATCATTAAAGGGACGTGTCTGTAGCACAAGGTTCTTTCACAATTGTAAAATAGTCCCTGCAGTATTTGTTGGGGGGACAAGCAAATTTATTAATAAGGACTTGAAATTGTCTTTTCCCCGTGATTTAAGTAGATGTATTTAAGTTTTGAGGTTACCTATGTCAAACCAACACATCTAAAATTATTTGGATGCGATCACGTCGTGATAGACTTGTTTGCTTTATAAAAATCTCATCACCTTTTAAATTGAGCTCACTATTGTTCGACGCCTGAGAGCAAACCATGTTTAGACCATCATTTTCATATGTAGCACTACTCAAATTTGATTCCGCTCGACATATTTTAACACCTCTATTTTAAATTGGTGGTTGTAGATAAAACAATTTGTAAATAGTTGACAAGAAAGTAACATTCATAGGGGTAACATTCAATATATCTAAAGCCAAAAAACACCAATCAAGCTACAAAGGACACCCTACAAACAAAGTTGGAGTGGCGATCTTCATAAAAACAAGCCAATCCAACTGCTTAAAACTCTCACAATTCAGCAAACTACACAAGCCAAATCTAAGCGGCCGAAGGGGCAGCGATAAAATGAACAACACCAGCCTCCGTTAGTGCTGCTGTCAACTTAGCTTCAGACACTTGACCATTGGCTGCCGTTGCAGCGGATGAGGCGGCAACAATAACATCCAATGTCTTATCGTTATAAATGTCCCACCATTTCTTGATTAGCATCTTGATATCCTCCCTATCCATATGCTCTTCTTTTCCCGTGTACCTCCATGGCTTGGACCCTGCAGCACAGTAATGGACAACCTTAACTTGGTCGAGCTTGACGTTCTCAGGATGCCGCCACAACATGGCCAAAACCAAGTTGTAATTGTTGGGAATTGGCTTGTAAATGTCCTTAAAGAACATGTTCAAGAAATCCTGCAAAATATAAGAGCACACTCAAATTTAAATCACAAATTAAGGGATTGTAAATAAAGAGCCATTCGTAGTGAAACCAAAAAAATAATTAAGGGCCAAAAGAAAGAGCTCGAAGGTCTGTTACGAATTGTCCACTAAATATACGAGACTATATATGTTTTTTCAAAAAAAATTTAAATCCTGGTTCGACTTTTTCTTCAAAAAAGGTGCTCGACATACAAGATCTCATATGTTTTTTAAGAAAAAATGATTCGATTTAAAGTTCCTTCCAAATTGCCATGTGCTGAAAATAGAGTAAAATATTTGCAGTTTCTCTAGTTTCTTCAGGTTAAAATTTCAACTTTTTTCCAGGCTATCAAAAATTACAGAAACAGTCAAAATTTATGCACGAGATGCTCATATGGTCAATGATATCATCAGCACAGTTATCAAGTACTAGTAAAGTAACAAAGGACTCAATAGCCCAGACAACATTAAAAACATAAAACGTACATGCCAAGCTGCCTAATTACCTGCTCGGCAAAGGAGGTCGGCCGGGTTATTTTGAGGGTTTGCAGTAGATCATAATAGGTAGGTAGACTTGGCTCAAAAACAAACATCCCAGCATTGAAGTAAAGAGAGGGCTTAGGACCCAATTTTTCATCCCACTTGACTTTGTCTGGACATTGCTGGCAATACCCAATCTTGTACTGAGGAGTGTGACTCCATGTTTTCTCACAGAAACAGTCCATTACAGCATAAAATTGCCCATCTGGTAAATCGAAAAGATGGTCTATGTTGTCATAAACTTGGATGTCCCCATCTAAGTATATCATCTTGCTATACTCCACAAACTGCAAAATAATACAACAACAAATTTAGTATGAACATAGGATTATAAACAAATTAAGATGACATGTTTTGCTAACGAGAACCATCACGATATTTTAACTTCTTTTTTTAAGTTCGACCACGCTTGGCTAAATTTAGTTGAGGTAAAGGAATTCAGAAAGGTTTTTAGAGCGCGGTTGAATCATAGTATTAAACAGTAATTTACGAAAAATAATAAAATTACTTCTTTTTCTTGTTTTATATATTTGATACATAGTATTACACCGTTTTCAACTAGACAATGAATTAACTTCTCTTTCTTTTCTAGAGCAGGCAAGTTTGGTCGTGCTTAAAAAAGTAAGTCAAACACGCTTTTAATGATATTCATTATTGTCGACCCTACTAAAACATGCCTTCAAAATGATAAAGTAGATTTTGATCATTTCCAATGAAGATTGATAAAAAAAAGTGATCAAAATCCAAAAATAAATTCATTCATAGTTAGCCAAAATATGATTAAAAAAATCTTGAGAATTTAAATAACTAGCTAGTAAAAATGCATACCTCCCAAATTCGAAGCTTTGAATAGTTGATGACATAATAAGCCATAGCAAACTGGGTATTATGATTTTCTGGCGGATAAACGGGCTCAATTTGGCGGACTATACACCCCTGGTTCACCAGTATGCGGCGGTGCTCCTCCGGCACATCCGGCAGAACCGCCACGACAAGAGGGTAAGCAGTGTCCACTTTTCTCAGCCCTTTGGCCAGCCCTACCACTCCTTTCACATAATCACCATTGCCTGCCAAGAATGTTACGTATGCATGGCTTGGCAGGCTGCTGGCCTTAGCTTGACCAGCACCACCGGAGCAGGTAACCCTACTTACGGCGGCTTTAAGTAATTCTGGCGCCATTATGTAGTGATTTGCTAGTTGCAGAGAAAAAAGTGAAAACTGAACAAGAAAAGGGAAGATTTTTGAAGGTCTTTTTGGGATTAAGAGAATTTGATGTGTGATGAGGTTTTGGAGAAGAGAATTGGGCTGGTTTATATAGAACTGGGGTGTGAACTATTTTCCCGAAAAACGAAAAAAGAAAAATAAGTTCTTGACTAGGTTAAATACACATTTGGTCCTTAAAGTTTCAGACAAATTTAAAATTAGTTCTTGATTGTATGAAAAACAAACTCTGGGGTTTTGTCATTTTATTTTTATCAAGGTTAATGCTTGTGCGGTAATGGAATTAACGTCTTACTAGTATACAGAAAATGCGAGCAGAATTTCACGTTAATATAACATACTGAGGTGATGAGGTTGAATTAGTTATGAAATATTGTGATTGAATTGGAACAAAACAAAACGGAAGGACTAACTTAATGTTTTGCTAGAACTATGAGGACCAAATGTGTATTTAACACATCTTTGACTAGATGAATCTAGTGGGAACAAAAGTTTTCCCAGGTGGCAGCTGCCAAACGGTGTCGTAACTAATGTAATAATCTGAGGTCACTCATTTTTTAATTTTTTTTTTACAAGAAAATCTGGACTGTTCATGAACCATTAGGATTTAATCTGATGATGTTTATTGTAGGCGGAAAGAAAGGTCCGGAAATAGGTGGAAAAATGGAGTTTTAATTAGTTGAAAGAGTGTGGGCCCGACATTATCTTAATTTAAGATTATAAAGATAATCTAATTTGATTAAAGTATTAATATAGCGATCATTCTAGATTAAATTTTTAAGAAATAAGGGCAGTTATAGCATGCATTGCGAAGTCTTGATTGATAAATCGTTCTTGATATTCAACAAATGGTTACACCCAACCAGGTTTTTTAAGTTTCAACTTCAAATTTCAAATTTAAAGTTTTTTTTTATACAAAAATCAGATGATAATATAAATTCTTAAATATTAGTAATAATATTATAAAATTAAATAATTCTACAAATCCACCCCCTGCCAAAACACTCACCCCACCCGATTTCGAACTTTAAAACATTTTAATCTCTCTCTCTCTCTCACTTTTCCGTCCCAACTTCTCCACTCTACCGACATTCTGTGAATAGCGAATTGTGATCGTTGCTTATGAGGAAAAAGCTCGGGCGTCGCTCGGCTGTGGTGAGAATGCAACGATAATTAGAAACAATAAAAATTCCCGCCTCGTGAAAATAAAATTAAAAAAAGGGGGCAAGCTGCGGCCCCGCCCCATCTAAGGCTGGCGCGGTCAGGCACCGAACCCTCACTAGCGGTGATATGACTAGGATGGCGCTCCTTCTTCGTCATTCCTTTGATGATGACATTCCTCGTTGCTCTTTTGTCGTGTGTGTGTGTGTGTGTGTGTAGGGTGCTAAATTTCGAAAAACTCAAAAAGTTGCTACAATTTGAAAATTCAAAAAATTATTTTTATTTTTGTCAAATGAAGTTCAACCGCTTTACGCTTGACCTATGCTCGAGTGACAGGAGCAAATTCTATCTCGCTCGAGTGACGTTTGCTTTTTAAACACCCTTCACTACTTCATTTTTCATCACATTTTCACTCATCCTTCTTATTCTTCTTGCCCAATCATTTCACTTGCTGGACGGCTTAAGATCTTCCATTGCATTCCTTAACATCAATTCGTCTCAAATCTTCATCAATATCGAAGGTATTGGCTTAAATCCTTAATTTCGCTGGTTTGCTTGATTTGGGGGTTTTTCAATTTCTCATGTTGTATCATCATTCACCACTTGTTAACATGTTGCATGTTGTCCATAGTGTATGTTACTTTGCATTGTGCTCTCATTAATAGGTTAATTTTTCTTAAATAATTTTAGAGGTTCAACATTGATTTATTTTTTTAGTCCATGTTTTGGGAACTCTGTTTGTCATTTTCCATCTTCACGTTTTATGACCTAGACTTCTTGTGATTGTGATTGAAGTCGGATTCCTGCATTGTGGGGTCATTGTAGTGTTAAATAGGTGAGGAATTTTACATTTTCAATGATGCACATCACGTGTTTGATAGAATGTCCTTTTCACCTTTTCTATCTTGCTTGCCCCACTTGTGCTCATTTTTTCGTCATTTATATCTTTGATCCATTGCAGGTGTTGGTTGCTTTTGGTTCTCATTCCAAAGACACATCTCACACGACGTTACTTACGTCTTGATGCCGTGCCGCCTATGCATTGATCCATGTCACCATGCATCTTGTCATCATCCTTTCAATCTCCAATCACTACTTGACATCATGCTTAGTTCATGTCATCGCACATTTTTTTGCAGTGGTTTACATTTTTTCCACATCGTTCACTATTTTGTATGTATTTACACATTGTTATATTGTTTTACGTGCTTTTCAAGGTTTTGTGTCATTTTGCATGATTTTTGCCTGATTTCACATCTATACATGCATATCATGGTTTAGGTGGTCCACACAGGTTCTCGTATTTTGTTTTCTATTTTTGATTATTTGCAACTGTCTTTTATATTTGATGCCACCTGAGCGAGCTAGGAATTGGATCGACCTTTTACAGTAGGTCTAGGTTCATCTCTTCCACTAGTTACGAGGTCTTTGGGTCTCAATTCTCCGTCCGTCCTGTTCTTATAGAGCGTAAGGTAATTCTCTTAGATTTCTCTCTCGACCTCGCAGCCATCTTTACTTTTCGAGGGTTGGGAACCACTTTCGATGGATCTTTCTCCACCGCATAGTCTCCTAGTTTAGGAGTTCTATGCGAACATTCATGAGGTGTGTGGGTCATCGTTAGGATTTTCCTTAGGAGTACAACTATTAGGATTTCACCTAATACCATTTCTAGCACATTGCACATTCTACGAGTTGTTCATCTCATTTCGTTATCTTTATGTTGACACCCTCTCGACTGACTCTCTTGTTCGGTCAAAACTATTTAATTGTCCCTTAGGGAGTGGTCCCACTGCAATTCGCACTGGATCTTTTCCCACTGATCGTCAGATTCTGTTGCGCATTGTGTGCATGAATCTTTGGCTTGTCTCACATACTCATTCATTGCCTATAGAGAAGGCAAGGTTTTTGTATGCTTTATTGGACGGTGACTCGATTGACTTGTCCATGTTTATCTGTCACCACATTTTGCGCATGTTTAGGGTCCCAGGTCACTGGATAGGTCTCTCGTTTGCCTCTTTAATTCACCATCTTGTTACCTTTTTGGGGATCACTTTTCTTGACAGGGTTTCAAGACGTATTAGTCGGCCTATAGATCAGGTTACCATATCTCAGAGTCGATCACATATCCCTTTGTCTTCCGCTCCAACGAAGGTAGCAGAGCCCGTTGACCCGATAATGCCTCTTGATCCCATTTATGATCCTTCTTCTGTTGGTCCTTCAGATATTCCCGCAACTTCTCTCAGCCCACTATCCCTTCTGATATCCCATTGTCATATACTTCGATTCCACCTTCTCCAATTAAGTCTATTTTGAGGACTTCCTTGGTTCTTTTTTATTCATCAGTCGCTCTTATGGGTCAGATGTTTGTGCTCAGTGAGCAGTAGGTTCGTATGATGGTCGAGATCGTCACACTGCTGAGTTCACTATGCTTCGTAGAGCGATTACTTATATTTAGCGTGTTATTAGGTGGATGCACCGGCATTGGGACAAAGACGATGATGACTCAGATAGTGCAAATTTTTTGAGGCAAAAAATTCCTACCAAACGGAGCCTTAATTTTCATTCCATTATATTTTATTTTTTTCTCTTTTATTTTCAATCACACAATTTTTCATAAAATAATATTACAATAAATCAAAAAAATTTCATTCTTTTTCAACCACTCATTTTTAAAAAAAATATTATTCCATTCATTTTCATTTCTACAAAATGAGAGCCAAACGGGGGCTTCTTTGCTGCTATGATGATGTTCAAAATCTGCAATGTGGGACCAGATTTTCCCACGTATAACCTATTTCATTGGAAGCATTGCAGCCCTATTTCCATGTTTCCAGAATTCTTTGAATAATGCTATCCAACCTGAGTTGAGATTTGCGGTTCAAGATTAACTCTTCAACTTATTGTCTATCAATAATTTATTGATACATTATTTTATATCTACTTTTAAATATAAGTGACAGTGAGTAAAAAGTTGGACATATTAATCTAAAGTAACGTGTTGATGAATCATTAAGTGGACAGCAAATCGAATAGTCAATTTTAGACATGAGATCTCAACTCATCTAGCATAATAGTTTTGGACATCAGTATAGGTGGCGTATCATAGGTCCCTATTAAATGTGCCATAATTCTGTGTATTTAATTCAACATGTAATTTAATATCACTAGTACTGTTACCTAGGTTGGGGTTAAAAACTGTGACAGTATTCTTTAGTTTTGTTACAAGACATGTGAGCAGTAGAATTGGATATAGATAAAATAATTGAAGGCCACTTTTGTGATTGAACGTCTGTCTACTTAATGCTATGTAAATTGAAAGTCCGTCTATTTTAATGTTACATAAACCCAAATCTAATTGGAGATGCTCTTATGACAGTAATAATTGAAATTTACTCAACAAGGGAGACCGTAGGTTGAATCATTAATGACTTCGTGCCTTGAATATTCTAAATATTCTTCCACGTATACTCTACACACACGTACACAATATTAGCATAGCGAGTTTAGATCTATTGTCCCTCAGTATAATTTTGACACTTCGACACATTATATCTCCTTTGGATATGAGAAGACGACAATGTGCATAAATTACAAAAAATGTGTTGGTGTCTCTCCGTTTACTAAAAGAAGAGGTGAAATGTGTTAAAAATATGTTGTGATTTATCAAGTTTCAAATAATTCATCTAAACTCTATCATAACTTCATTCCAATGATACTGTTCAAACAACTCTCCTCAGAGTTAAAGACGAGTCAACTAATTTCATATATAACTCGTCAAATTTGGAAAAATTCGTCAATTTAAGTACTCGAATCAGATTAATATCTAAACATCCAGTTCATGCCTAGGTTTCAATCTAAGAATTATTGTTCAAACACAACCACATGGGTTGAATGTCTTTATAGAACTG